CCTCGGAGGACTTGCAGCAAGTGGGCTCAGGTTCCCACTGCCGGTTCCTTTGTGCATTTATCCAGCGTGCCATGAACAGGCCCGTGTCAGGGCCGGGACACCGTACTGGGGCGGGGAGCACAGTACTGGGGCGGGGGCAGCCCATCCCAAGTCTCACTCCTTCTCCTTGGCTGGCAGGAGAGACGCCCTCAGGCAGGACCTGCCCCTGGGAGCCTCTGGGGGGTGAGTACTGGGGCCAGGACCGCAGGTGCCGTGGGGCTCTGGCCTGGTGGGTCCTATGGGGGTTGGTAGGGTCCCTGAGGAGCTGTCTGGCTGGCTGGGTTGGTGCCCTGGCCAGCCTGGGCCTCTGTGCACCCGCGGGTAAGACCTCTGGCCCCAGCCCAGTCCCTGGCCTCCAGCTGGGAAGCACAGGTGAGCCTGTGAGAGGGGCAGCCCAGGGGAACGGCAGCATCAGGGCCGCGGAGACCCCTGGGAGGCGTGGGAGCCGTCACTCCCACCACCTGCAGGTCATGGTCACCCCGGCCTCCTCCGGCCACAGGAGCTTCTGAGCAGCTCCTCTCTGCAGCGAGGCTGCCTCCTGCCCGGCCCGGCCCCCTGACTGGGGGATGTAAGAAAGGGAAGGTGAGGCGGGTATTCGTTATTCCCAGGAGGAGGTGCGGTTAGACACCAGGAAGGACCTGCCCTGAAGTTGGGGGACCACATGGAGGGGGAATGGCAAGGGCAGAGGACCAGGCCCCTCTTCTTGGGGGACCTTGTGGGGGTGGGGTGCTGAGGAGCCGGGGCCCAGCCTGCTCCTTCCCTCCTGCAGGGCCGGGGGGCCGTGTGCTGAGGCTGGGGGCGCTGAGGCTGCTGCTCTTCAAGCTGCTGCTGGTGGACCTGCTCCTGACCTGCAGCCGCCTGCTCACCCCACCCGCTGCACCCGGCTCCCCGCACTGGCCGCCTCGCACCCTGGGCAGCAGGAGTGACCCGCCCAGCCGAATGCTGTCGTCACCGGAAGAGGCTCAGGGCTCAGGCCTCCTGCCCCGCGGGCCTGGCAGCCTTGGGGTTCATACCTGCCCTCTGGATCCCACCCTGGCGGGAGCCCTGTCTAAGAGCAAGGGTGCTCTCTGCCCACCAAGCGCCCCATGCTCAGGGCCTCCACCTCGGAGGGCACTGCCGCCTGCTCATCCTGGACCTGAGTTTCCTGGGGCCCCGGTGGTCTCCCTCCTTCCCCTGAGGCCGGTCTGGGGGGAAAGGCTGGTCTCTCCCCTCTGACTGGGAGCCCCTGAGGGCGGAGATTGACACAGGCATCCTGGGACATTTGAGATGCAGAACACTGAGGACAATTAAAGGAGAACTTCAATGGCACAAGCAAAGCACAAGTGTTTTCATTCCTGTCTTCTCTGGGTTTAGAGGAGGCAGAAATCTGGGAGGCCTTCCCAGAGGAGGAGGGCTTTCTGAGGGCAAGACCCTGGGAACTGCAGTGTGGGGCTGGGGGCTGGGGGCGGGGGAGAGCACTGTGCCTCCTGTCTCCTTACTTGGGGGCCTCGCAGGAGGCCAGGCCCCTCTGGCTCCTCACCCTGGCCACGCTCTGTGAGAGGTGGGGCGTGCAGCCCAGGAGCCCAGGAGCCCAGGAGCCCGGGAATGCGGGTGCCGGGCCTGATGGGAAGTCTTGTGCAGACACCACTGAGGTGAGCAGGGCCAGGATCCCAGAGGAAGGGGAGTGTGCTCAGCGCCAAGAGCACTGACGGTCACCCCAAGCTTACTCTGATTAACCAAGAGTCATTATCCATTTCACAAGCATTCACTGACCGCCAACTCAGCCAGGCACTGAAGCAGCTTTTGTTTGTTTTGTTTCCTGAAGAGGCTCCTTGTGGTGACAGAACATGGGGCTCCCTGAGGGGTGTGGGCGGCGTGTCCCCTGTTCCTTCAGCACCGGCCTCCCAGCGGCTCCTCCAGTGGCTCCGCCCAGGCACCGCTGGGCGCTGGGGCGTGGATGTCCCCGGGCAGCCCAGACAGCCTCTGGACCAGTGGTGCTACCGGTCTCCCCCAAGGTGTCGCTGGGAAAGCATGTTCTAATACCCCTCCCTCCCCCAGTGTGGTGTCAGTGACACCGCCTGCTTCCTTGAACGTGTGCCCTCTGAGCTGCCGGCCCATGAAAGCCCTCACTGTCTCCCCCACTGCCCACCTCTCACCAGCCTGTCAGATTCTCCCACCTCTTTTAGGATTATTGAGGGGGTGGGAGGTCCCACAACTTCTACGGATGAATCTGTCCACATCCCGACAGGGCCAGCTGCTTCCCCAACTCTCAGACTGAGAAGGGTGGGCTGGGTCAGGGTAGTCAGTCTCAGACTTCCTCCAGTCATCATCCCTCCCAGTCCCAGCCCCGGACGCTGAGCTCACGGCTCCTGCCACACCAATTCCTGTCTCAGTGAATGTCCCCTCGTTCTGGAAGCCGTGTTCCCTTAGCTTCGGCACCCTCCCAATGCCCCCAGTCCTGCCTGCCCCAGACCACTCCCCCTGAGACCGGTTTACTGTTATCTTTCAGGAGGGCTCCTGGAAATGAAGTCCCTGCCTTCTGTGAGCTCAGAACCCAAAGGAAAAAATAATAGGGCCTTAGAGGCCCGATGTTACAGAGAATTGATGCGTGAACTTTCTACAATCTGCTCCATAAGCTTTAATCCCATTAACCATTTGAACTTCCCAGGAACCGGCGGGCCTCCACCAGCCGCTGGAAGGATCACTCGGTCATCACAGGGCTGGACAGCGAGGCCAGAGAGGAAGTGGAGCGTTTGGTTCTCACGGGAGAAATGTAGGGGCTCTGGGCGCGAAAGAGCTATTTAGAGGCCGGGCTGTGTGAGTCGGCAGCACCTATGAGAGTGGCGGGCGGTCGCAACAATAATAGTAAAACTTTAAAAAAGCTGCTCACAGGAGCTCTGCGTTCTATCAGCCCCGGGGGAAGTGACGCGAGAGGAAGCGGAGAGGCGGTGAGGACGCTTTTCCCATCTCTTCTAGCCAGCAATCCGCTGCCCCTCGCCCCTGCCCCTCCACACACACACACACAGACACACGCACACACACACACACACATCCCACACACAGAGAGACACAGACACACACACATCCCCCACACACACACAGACACATACACACACACCCCACACACAGACACACACACAGACACACGCACACACACACACCCCACACACACACAGACACACACAGACACACACACAGACACACACACAGAGAGACACACACACACAAACATACACACATACACACACCACACACACACACACAGACACACAGACACACACACTACACACTACACACACACACAAACATACACACAGACACACAGACACTCCACACATCCCACACACACACACACAGACACACACACACAGAGACACACACACAGAGACACACACACATACACACATACACACACCACACACACACACACACAGACCCACAGACACACACACACACTACACACTACACACACACACAAACATACACACAGACACATAGACACACCACACATCCCACACACACACACACACAGACACACACACACAGACACACACACACAGAGACACACAAACATACACACATACACACACCACACACATACACACACCACACACACACACCCACACACACACACAGACACACACACACTACACACTACACACACACAGACACACACACAGACACACACACCCCATACACACACACTATACACACACATCCCACACACACACACACACCACACACACACTACACACACACACTACACACACACACTACCCCCACACACAGACATACACAGACACACACACATCCCACACACACAACACACACACACAGACACACAGACACACAGACACACATCCCACACACACACCACACACACACACACACACATCCCACACACACAGACACACAGACACAGACACACACACACTACACACACACACACACACAGACATACACACGGACACACACATCCCCCCCACACATACACACAGACACACACATCCCCCACACACATACACACACCACACACACACTACACACACACACTACCCCCACACACAGACATACACACAGACACACACACATCCCACACACACACACACACAGACACACACACCCCACACACACAACACACACACACACAGACACACACACACACACACTACAGATACACACCACACACACACACACACACACAGACACACAGACACACATCCCACACACACACCACACACACACACACACATCCCACACACACAGACACACAGACACAGACACACACACACTACACACACACACACACACAGACATACACACGAACACACACATCCCCCACACACATACACACAGACACACACATCCCCCACACACATACACACAGACATACACACAGACACACACACACATCCACACACACACACACACACACACACACCACACACAGACACAGACACACAGAGACATACACAGACACACACAGACACACACAGAGACACACACAGAGATACACACAGGCACACACAGGCACACAGACAAACATACGCAGAAACACACACTACACACACGGAGACACATACACACGCCACACATACATACACACATGCACACACAGAGACACATACACATACCATATAGACACACACACACACTCACACACACACACCCCGGTCCTAGTCCTCCAGCCCCGCCCAGAGCCTCCGTTAGGGGGTGGGGAAAGACGTTGCCATTGGCCACCGAGGACACCATCCTCTCTCTCATTGGCCCAAGCCGAAAGGGGCTCGTCCTCCCATTTGCTGGGGGGCGAGCCCGGAACGCCCATTGGCTGCGCAGCCCGCGGGCCTCGGCGCTCCGGGCGGCGGGCGGCGGGCGCCGGGGCGGGCGGGAGGGGCGGGCTCGCCGGCCCGGGTGCGGGGCACGTGTGCGGCCCCGGAAGCGTCTGCGGAGCTGGGAAGCGCAGCCCGGGCGGTCCGGCCGCCATGGAGCCCCTGCCTGAGCGCGCGCGCCGGCCCGGGCCCCGCTGGCTCCTGCTGCCGCTGCTGCTGCTGCTGCCGCCGGCCCCGGGGCTGGGCCCGCGCCGCGCCCGCGCCGAGGAGAGCGACTGGGTCCGCCTGCCCAGCAAATGCGAAGGTGAGGGCGGGGCGGGCGGGCGCCGGCGGGGGCCGGGCTGCCGGGAAGGTCCGGGCTCCGGAGCGCGCCCCCGGGGTGCGGGGCGGCGACCGAGCGGGTGTGGGTGCAGCGGGAGCTCACAGACCCGTAAAGCAAGCAGCTACCACCAGGGCGGGCGGTGCCTTGACGGGTGAAGTGCAGGCTTGGGCGCCGGTGAGCCCCGCTGGCCTCCCGGCGGCGGGGGAGGCGGTGCGGAGGGGAGGCGGAGGCTCCGCGGGGAAAGGAGGAGTTGGCGGGGAGAGAAGTAACGGGAGGCCCCTCGCAGGACCCCGCCCGCGCAGGCCCGGCTTGAGGAACCGAAAGGATTCGTATGACTGGTCCGAGGGGAAGAGCCCGAGCCCCCTGGGCCTCACCGCAGCCCCATCTGTGGGACTGGCCGCCTCCTCACCAGCTGTGAGCTCCCTGAGGACCCAGACCTTCTCTCCGATATTTTTGGCATAAATATAAATAAACGGGGGCAGTGGTGGGGGGTGGAGGACGGAGGAGGAGTCTCTTTGAGACTGAGGGAGGAAGGTTTTAGGAATATGGAAGAGAGAGCATCCCAAAGACCTAGGGTGTAGGTGTGGAACCAGAGGGGGGGAGAGACAGGGTGGGTGCTGGCCCATGAATCAGAGATCCGGGACTGTGAAGGGCCCCCCTTTCCTTCCTCCCCTTCCCACCCCTCTAATCCCAGGCCACCCAGAAAGTGGGCTTTGAATCTGTTTCATCCCAATCCACAGCCTACAGCAGGCCAGATGGCCCCTAAGCCCTGGGAGGTGAGGGGCGGGGAGGGTTTAGAACACATAATCCTTCCCCTGGAGAGATGGGAGGGGAGGTGCTTCAGAGATGGGATGAGTCGGAGGGGGGGGGGGGGGTAGGTGTCCCTCTCTCCCTTGAGCAGATGCTTTCCTTTCCCTCTGCCTCCGGCACCGACCAAGATCCAGTGGGGGTTTCACTTCCTCTTCTCTTTTCACTATTTTATTCTGATGCCAAAGAGCTCCCACTGTGTCTCAGATTCTCCGAAGCTCACCTTTCTTTCCCTCAGAGGCATTCACAGGTCATAGAAGCGTAGGGCTGGCGAGGATCTTTGAGACGATTGTAGTGCAACCTTGTTTTGTAGGTGACTGATCAAGATTACTTTAGAATATTTGTGTCGCAGGATGGCGTGGCAAACTCCAACCCTTAGGCTCTTAATCGGGTATTTATTTTTATTTATCATTTTGTTATTAAATGCTGACCATGTCTGGCCCACAAAGCCTGCCTCCGGGCTCGGGGGCCTGAGTGGCACAGGCCTTGGCACAGAGAAAGGGGAACTTGCCCAGAAAAAGAGGAAGTGCATGTCTGTGGGTGTCTGGGTGGGCGCCATGAGTCTCCCCCAAGACTGGATCCCCAGAGGGGGGTCTTGAAGAGGGAAAGTTTGGAAGAGTTGAGAGGCAGGGTTTGGCGGATGAATACAAGAGGTAGGTTGATGGGTTCCAACCTTCTGGGCCTGGAATATTACAGGCTGAAGGTGGGCACCGGAGCCAGAAAGGTGATGACCTTACACAACTCTGAGATCACCAGCGTATATGTTGGAATTTTCGTGTGTCCCCAGTTCTCCAAGCCGCGTAGTAATGTATATGTCACCCGGTTTCACCACGCAGGCCTCAGGGGGTGCGTTTGTTTCGGTGCTAGTAATTGGTCTTCCACCGAACTCTACCGTCAGTGTTACAACAAGGCTGGTGGCTGTATTCTCTTCAGAAGCTGCGCAGCCACAAACACAGCCTCCCTCAGGACACCTGTCATGTATCCAATCCCCGCAGAGTCCCAGACAGAGGAATACAGGGCGGATCCAGGACATGCACTCACTCTGGGGACTCCTAGGTCTGATTAGAGGCAGGAGAAAGGACCAAAGGCCGCACAGTCCTGGGATGAAACTGAGAGCAGGTGGGATTAGCCCTGGCGGGGGGAGGGCTCGGTTGGTTGGAGTGTCATCCATACATTGAAAGGTGGCGGGTTCGATTCCTAGTTGGGGCACATACCTAGGTTGTGGGTTTGATTTCTGGTCAGGATCGGTTTGGGAGACAGCCAATGGATGGTTCTCTCCCACATCCATGTTTCTTTTTTTTTTTTTTTTTTTAATAAATTTTATTGATTTTTTTTTTTTTTTTTTTTTTTTTTTTTTTTACAGAGAGGAAGGGAGAGAAAGAGGGACAGAGAGCTAGAAACATCAATGAGAGAGAAACATCGATGAGAGAGAAACATCGACCTGCTGCCTCCTGCACACCCCCTACCGGGATGTGCCCGCAACCAATGTACATGCCCCCGACTGGAATCGAACCCGGGACCTTTCAGTCCACAGACCGACACTCTATCCACTGAGCCAAACCAGTTTTGGCCACATTCATGTTTCTTCCTCTCCCCCCTTCCTCTCTGGGTGAGGATTAAAAAAAGAAAGGAAGAACAAGTGGGATTTGTGCAAAAAAGGATTCCTGGGGAGGAGACTTTTATGGTGAAGGTGGGAGACTGGGCAGAAAATTCCAAGGCCCCTGGAGGGCAGTAAGCACTTCCTGAGGCGTAAGGCACTGAAGTGGCTGCCTTCCTTACGCAGTGAGAACTGTTGGTTTACACTTCTTTCTGCTCCATTAGACCGAGTCCCTGGAAGGGAGGAAAAGAGAGAAAGCAGAGTCCCTGGAAGGGAGGAAAAGAGAGAAAGCAGCCTCCGGAGGGGACCGATGCGGGAATAGAGAGCTGGTGTTGCCCAGCGTGTGAAATCCAGCGATAAAACAGTCCCAGGAGACACTTAGGGGGGAAATTTGTATTAGATGGCCTTGGAATTATTGTCCATTTTCCAAGGAATCAGAATTTGTTTCTCGGTTAGGTAAGAGAAGGTCCTTTTTCTCGGAGATGCGTGATCACGTATGCAGGGGTGAAAGATCATGTCTGCAACCTGCTTTCAAAATGGCTTAGCACAGACGGGGTATACAACAATGTAGGCGGGTGTGGGCAAAGGTAGTTCACAGCTGTGAGCATGCAAAACAGCGTATTCTTGTATTATTAATGATTATTAATTGTGAATGATTGTATTACTTATGTGACACAACTGTAGACCTACTTTTGCTCACTCTGTAAATGGTAGAGATATATTATCACATTGTTTTATGTTGTATATTGGAGAGAGCCGCTGATAAATCATGAACCACTGTTGAATGTGAACGGAAGGAATATAGTGTATGTTCATGGCACTCTTTCGGCTTTTCTATATGTTTGAAAATTTTAAAGCTAAAGTGATGGTGGGGGCAGAGGAGCCGGAAGGAGCTGGGAGGACTGATGTCGGTGGTATAAGGGCCACGAGTAGACAGGGGCACTGCCAGCTCCTCCCCTGCCCCACGGCTCCTCCAGCTGGGAGAGGCCTTGACCCTGAGTCTTGCGGGGAGTTGCTCCCAGAGGACACTCATCGCTGTGCTGTGCCCCCTCTCCCAGTGTGTAAATATGTCGCCGTGGAGCTGAAGTCGGCCTTCGAGGAGACTGGCAAGACCAAGGAGGTCCTTGACACTGGCTACGGCATCCTGGACCGGAAGGCCTCCGGGGTCAAATATACCAAGTCGTAAGTGAACGGGGACCCACCGGCCCGGCCTGCTGTGTTCCTCAGGGCTCCCGCGGCCTGGCGTTCCCGTCTTCCTTCCAGCCAGGCAGACCCGCAGGGGGAGGCAGCTCTAACGGAGACCTGCATTTGCCCGCTGGTTCTGCGACCGACTGATTGGGAGGCTTTCCTTAATCCCTCCGCTGCTCGCTTCACATCCCTCCTGTAAAAGCCAGACCGTCACTCCCAGACGTTTGGGTTTCATGGACCAAAGCAATTTAAAAAATATTGGTAATGCGAGATTACCAACATTTAATTTTGCCAGGTATAACTATCAAAAACAAATTTTTTTAAAAAAAGCACATAAAACTTCCATCAGCGCCAAAGCCGGTTTGGCTCAGTGGATAGAGCGTCGGTCTGTAGACTGAAAGGTCCCAGGTTTGATTCCAGTCAAGAGCACGTATCTTGGTTGTGGGCACATCCCCAATAGGGGATGTGCAAGAGGCAGCTGATCGATTCTCTCTCATCCAATGTTTCTAACTCTCTATCCCTCTCTCTTCCTCTCTGAAAAAAAAAAAAAAAAAAAAAAAAAAAAAAAAAATATATATATATATATATATATATATATATATTTTTTTTTTTTAAAGACTTCCATCAGCGATGGTCATCCTTTCAAAATTAAATTATATTTTAACATCAAAATTGTATACATTTTGCTTTATTTAAAAAAAAAAAAACCTACAGAATCATTGAGCTTTATAAAAAAAATTAAAAAAAAAAAATCCTTCCCTAGAGCTGTTAAAACTTTGTCTCTCTGGTCTGTGTTCCAGCATTTCAGAGCACCCAGACCAGATGACCTATCTTCCTTCCAGCTCTGACCTCCCGTTGGTGAGATGCGCAGGCGCTGGGGCAGCAGGGCTGGAGGGACGGACCACGGACCCACGGGGGCTGGGAGGGGGACTCAGCCCCGCGTGCTGCTGTCTCCACAGGGACTTGCGGTTAATCGAGGTCACTGAGACTATTTGCAAGAGGCTCCTGGACTACAGCCTGCACAAGGAGAGGACCGGCAGCAACCGGTTTGCCAAGGTGGGACTGTGCTGGGCCTTGTTCCCTGCGGGGCGGGGCCTGCGTGGGGCTGCGTGCTCTGCTGGTGTGGCTGTGATTTGAAGACCCTGCCCGGGAGCTTCCCTCCATTGCTGTTTGTGGATCCTGGGTGGCCTGCCTTTTCCTGGGCCATAGGCACACGCATAGCGGCTGGGCCTGCCCGTCAGGACCCTGGTCAGGACCCTGCCTCCGTGCAGACTGGCGGGAATGCGCGAAGTGCGGCCGCCAGGGGGGCCTAGAGCCCCGGTGCAGGGAGAGGTCAGGGAATGAGGGTTTAGAGAGGAACCCAGAGCCTCTTGGCGGTGATGACCCTGGCCCTTCTCTGGGCCCCGGGGCACATGCCTCACCCTTCCCGCAGAGGCCTCAAAAGGCTGCACTTCTTCCTCTGCCACATCCTTCACAGAGTCCCCTCCTAGCGGAGATCAGTGTGGGTTCCGCCCCGGCTGGTGTGGCACCGTTGGTTGGGCGGCGTCCCGTACACCAGAGGGTCTCGGGTGGGTGCCCAGGCAGGGCACATGCCCGCGTGGCAGGCTCCATCCCCGGTGGAGGGCATGCAGGAGGCAGCCTGTCGACGTTGTGCTCTCACTTAGATGTTTCTCTCCCTTCGTCTCTCAAAATCAATAAACTATTTAAAAATAAAAGTAAAATTTGTATGAGTTTTGTACCCTAGTTGATAATAAATTTGTGTTTGCTTTAATGTAAAAACATTAAAAGTTAATTTTTCATAACAAGAAAGTTAGAAACAGCCTAACCATCCATCAGACAGGCGTGGCTAAATAGATTGGCCGTGCACTGGCCTGTCCACAGCTGAGGAACAAAGGCTGAGGTAGCTCTGCCAAGACTGAGTTAAATCTTCTCCAACGTGTGTCACTAAATAAAAAGGCAGGATAGTGTGTGACATACATATTACTGCTGTGTAAAAAGTGTGAGAGGGGCGAGAAAGATGCATTTGTATGTCTGTTGGCATGTATTTATATGCATTATCTCTGGAAAGGTAGTCTGTTGTCTCGGGGAGAGACCTAGGAAGCGGGCAGAAGTGGAAGAGAGACTTTCCTGCCTTGCCTTCACCCTCCCCCCAGCAAGGAGAGAGCCAAGCCCTGAGAAGAACCCCCAGCAGGGAGTGGGCCTGGGTGAGGGGAGTGAGCCCAGCCACAGTGCAGGGGGGGGAAACCAAGACAGACGTATTTCCTGGAAAAGGAGTGTCCCTTCAGAGGACCTGAGGGCACAGCAGACCTGTTGGGAAGGATAAGGTGTGGGGAGGCAGGACAGGGCGTGTGTGTGGGTATGTGTGTGCATGCGTGCATGTGTGGGGGTTACGGGAGGGACGCCTAAAAGAGTGGAGAGGAGGGTGAGAACCCTAAGAGGTCTTGGCCTCTCAGACTGGCCTTGGGCCTCCGGCAGCCCCCGCCGAGGACGGCAGGAGGCAGGGAGGGACCCCGCTCATGTCCGGTCCCTCTTCCAGGGCATGTCCGAGACGTTTGAGACGCTGCACAACCTGGTCCACAAGGGGGTCAAGGTGGTGATGGACATCCCCTACGAGCTGTGGAACGAGACCTCCGCAGAGGTGGCGGACCTCAAGAAGCAGGTAGGCCCCGGGGGTGGGGACGGCTCTGCGGCCCCTCCCGCCGGCCGCCCGCCTGTCCGCGTCCCGTGTGGCGCAGCCGCTCGGAAGGGCCCCGGTGCCGGGCCTTGCCAACGCGAGGGCTGTGGTTCCAGTGCGACGTGCTGGTGGAGGAGTTCGAGGAGGTGATCGAGGACTGGTACCGGAACCACCAGGAGGAGGACCTGACGCAGTTCCTCTGCGCCAACCACGTGCTGAAGGGCAAGGACGCCAGTGAGTCGGAGGGAGGGAGGAAGGAGGCAGGACGGCTGGCCCTTGATCCCATTGTTTGCTCCCCCGGGTGGGGGGGAGGTAGGGAAGGGAAACGGAAAAGAGATACGAAAGAGAGGGTGTTTCCTAGCTGGGTGGGCAGCGTCCTATACACCGAAAGATGGTGGGTTCGATTCCCCGCCAGGGCACATCCCCAGGGTGCAGGTCAATCCCAGGGGTGGGTACGGGAGGCAGTCAATCGATGTCTCTCTCCCCTGGAATCAGTTTTTAAAAATTAAAGAAAGCTGCCGAGACCAGTTTGGCTCAATGGATAGAGCGTCGGCTTGGGGACTGAAGGGTCCCAGGTTCGATTTCGGTCAAGGGCATGTACCTTGGTTGCGGGCATATCCCCAGTAGGGGGTGTGCAAGAGGCAGCTGATCGATGACTCTCTCTCATCGATGGTTCTAACTCTCTATCTCTCTCCCTTCCTTTCTGTACAAAATCAATAAAATATATTTTTTTTTAAAAATTAAAGAAAGCTGAAACTGGTTTGGCTCAGTGGATAGAGCATCGGCCTGTGGACTGAAGGGTCCCAGGTTCAATTCCGGTCAAGGGCATGTACCTTGGTTGCCGGCACATCCCCAGTAGGGGGCATGCAGGAGGCAGCTGATGGATGTTTCTCTCTCATCGATGTTTCTGACTATCCCTCTCTCTTCCTCTCTGGAAAAAATCTATAAAATATATATTTTTTAAAAATTAAAATTAAAATAAATCACTGCCCCCTGGGAGCTTGACGTGACAGGGTGGGTGAGAGGCAGCGAGCAGGTGCAGAGCAGCATGCAGAGAACTCCGAGGCCCCAGGAGCCTGGGTCCCGGGGAGGTGGGATAGGGACTGGGATGTCAGGCGGCCATTCCAGCTGCCACTCCCACAGGCGGCGCCCCAAGCAGTGCTCCTCGCCAGCAAACCCGCCTCTCCTCCTCGCCCCAGGTTGCCTGGCAGAGCAGTGGTCCGGCAAGAAGGGGGACACGGCCGCGCTGGGCGGGAAGAAGCCCAAGAAGAAGAGCAGCAGGGCCCAGGCCTCCGGGGGCAGCAAACAGAGGAAGGAGCTGGGAGACCCGGGCCCCGAGGAGGACGAGGGCGTCCAGCAGGCGTCCCCCCTCACACGCAGCCCCCCTGACGAGCTCTGAGCCTCACCTGGCAGCCCGAGCCCAGACTCCTGACGCGGAGGCTGAAGAATCTGAGACTCGGCTCTGGCAGGCAACGACGGCGCTCCCGGCCGGTCCTCCGGCCGCGCTGGGTCCTCCCTGTCGGGAGAGGCACGGCTCCCGGAAGAACTCTCTCCCTCTGGCAGGCACTTCTCTCCTGGCGAGGCTGCAGGCAGGCGGCCGTGCGGCCTCGGGGCTGCCGAGCGCAGCGCAGTGCGGACTCGGGAGCGGCAGGTGTCGCTGGGCCCCAGGACGAGCCCTCTGGACCCTGTGGGGAGGGCGCGCCGGGCCTTTGCATCCCCTCACGCCTGCCCCCACCGCGAAGCAAGGCTGCAGGCCCCAACCCTCCTCTCTCTCATCCTCCTGTGGACACCTTGTGCTCTGCCTGGCCCTCCCCAGGGCTCACAGAGTAAAAGCCTTTGGCCTTTTTGTTCTGGTTTCTGGGTCACCTTCAGCCCCTCAGAGGGGCCTCGAGCCCCTTCTTGCTGTTCCCTGCCCTTTTCCTTCCAGCCCTGGGGGCCGAGGATGGGGAGAGCCCGGGCTATTTTGGGGTAAAGGGCAGGCGTGGGGGGAGGCCCAGCACAGGGCCTGCCCCCTCCCTCGGGCCAGGAGGGGCCTCATTTTTGCCCCGAGCACCTGGCTGCCCTCCCTCATTCCCACCTCCATCCGGCCCGGCCTGTTGGTCTTGGACCTTGTTCCCTGATTGATCGCTCTGCTCTAGCTGTTGTCCCTGGAGCCTAACGGGGAGGACAGCCGGTCACACCGTGTCCTCGGGAGCAGGGCGGGCGGGAGGCTGGCTCTGGCAGGCGGGGTGGAGGCCCTGCCCGCGTGTCCTGAGGACAGGGCCCCGGCGGGCGGTAGCAGCAGTGAGGGCAGTGGCGCTGTGCGGAGCGCAGTGCTCCCTCCACACTGCTCTGTGGGCCGGGTGCTGTCCACCCCGTTTTGTAGGGAAGGAAACAGGCTCACGTCAGAGGACATGCCTGAAGTCCCACTGTTCACTGTACAGTTGGCACTCAGGCCCTGATTTCCGGACCGCGAGCCCAGCATTGTCTCCACTGCCCCCCCCCCCCCCCCCCCCCCCCGCTGCCAGGACACCACCCCAGCGCCTGGCACTGCAGTGCCATTCATATTGAACTGGTTGGTTTGGTTTGGCTTCTTGGCCACAACCTACCTCCACCAACAAGCCACCTTTAAAGCAAAAACAGGAAACAGCTATTGCTTCTTAGAAGGAGAGAACGGTGGGAGGTCCCATCAGCACGGGGCCCCACCTAGTCCTCGTGAGCACCCGCACCGAGACCCTCACTCCCCTGGGCCGGGCCCACTGAGCAGGAGGGGGCGCACTGCTGAAGTGCCCCAGGTTCGTCATCTTCGGGTGAAGAGGCTCTGGGGTATGATCTGAGGGTGAGGGGTGCCCTCAGCCTGGGCTCAGCCTCTTCCCCAAGTTGGGACAGCCAAGGCCATGCAGAGTGGGACAAACTGGGGTTTTATTCCCTCTGGTCAGCGAGGCCTGGAAGGACATTTTTTGGTCTGTCCCCCATTGCCCCACCTCAGGACTGATAACTGCTCCGTTCGGAGGGCTGTGGGATTCCAGCGTAGACTCTGGTTCCAGCCTCAGCTTTGTTCTGCGCACAGGAAGTGACGGGCTGGGGTTGGGGGCTGGAACGCAGGGCTGGAAAACCATTTGCAACCCCCTGGGCTGTCATCCAAACCCACAACCTTCAGTGCCTGGCTTACGTCTGTCCCCGAAGCTTTATTGATCCTTGGGGTAGGATGAGGCAAAGATGGGTCCTCTTACCAGGCGGTGGCCCCGTGGCCCAATCCCAGGCCAGGCCCGCACCAGAGGGCAGACAGCTGTGACTGCTTTGCTCTTTGACCTGTGGCTGCCCCATGAGCCCTCTCCTCCCCCTGCCCCCACAGGGCAGGCATGCTGCACTCACTGGCACTCCAGCAGACAGCTTTCTCCCTGCTCAGCCTGGAAAAGGCAGAAGGCTGCCCTGGCCGGGTAGCTCAGATACACCAAGGTTGCGGGTTCAATACCCAGACAGGGCACATACAAGAAGCAACCAATGAGTGCATAAATAAGTGGAACAACAAATTGCTGTTTTTCTCTCTTCCTTCCTCTCTGACTCTCAAAGCTTTTTAAGTGGGGTGGTCAGAAAGTGGGCTCCAGGCTCCCAGGTTGCTTTTCTGCCCCCAACATACATAGAAGCCTTTCTGAACTTAAATATTGCCTCCCACTTTCTCACACCCCTTCCCCCAACTAGGTGAAGGGCAGGCCCCGTTAGAAACCCTATTAGAACAGGGTTTCCTACTCTCACCTGGACATGAAAGTCACCTGAAGTGCTTGTTAAACATACAGGAGTCTGGGCCCACGCAGGCTCGCTGGGCTGAAGACCTAGGAGCTGCGTGCCGAGGCCAGCTGGAACCCACTTCACCAGGAGGAACTCGGGGTGTCCTCTAAGGGGGAGCAGGGCTTCAAAGAAGCTACACTGTCGGGGTCTTAGAAACATGACTTGTCAGAGCCCCAGAGAGGATCTGTCTCCGATGAGGACTTCCATCGTCCAGGATGACAAATGACGACGGACAAAGCAGGAGGCCAGTTTGTTCCAATTCAATGATTAAAGAACCATAGGTCCAGGGAGTCCAGTCTCAGGGGTTGGGCCCCAGAAAATTATAGTAAATATACAAACCCATGCCTGGCAGCCTCTTGAGTATGGAGCCCTTGTGCAGTGTGTAATCTATCCAGGTGTTCACAGCAGCTCTACATCACTTAGTCTGCCAGTGCTGACAAAAGCCCTCTTACTTCTTATATCAGAAAAAGAAGGCACATTTTCACGACCAAGGCATGAGCCATGTGTAATCGGTTTAGGGAAGAGCTCTGAATTAATCCGGAGGCAGAGCCAGCTGAATCTCAGTATCTCCCGATGGCCTAGTTTGCTTTATTGAGGAGTTTCACTATATTATTAATAATAATAGTAGCCCCTTTCTGTGAGTGCTATGTGGCAAACACACAGCTCTGCATGCTTTACCTAACTCATTTAATAAAGCATGATCATAAGGCCATAGTTTTTTTTTAAATATCGAAGTAAATTATACCTACAGAAAAGTGCACCCAAGTGTATACACCTCAGTGAATTTTTTTAAAGTATATATTTTATCGATTTTTTTACAGAGAGGAAGAGTTAGAAACATCAATCAGCTGCCTCCTGCACACTCCCTACTGGGGATGTGCCCCCAACCAAGGTACATGCCCTTGATCGAAATCAAACCTGGGACTTTTCAGTCCGTAGGCCAAACCGGTTTCGACCTCAGTGAACTTTTATAAACACCACCCAAGTCACCAGCAACCATGAAACATTACCATCACACACACCACAAAAAGAACAAGGATTTTTGTCTATTTTGTTCCCTGCTGTATCCCAGTACTTATTACAGAGCCTGGCACAGAGGAGATGCTTAATAAGAAGCTGTTAAGTGAAATGTAGAAAGGTTAAGTAATGTGCCCATGGTCATACATTCAGCAAGTGGCCCAGCCAGGTGAGCCGCGGTGGGGTGGCTTCAGTGTCCGGGGCACAGCCATTCCACCGCGGTACCCTGCAGCTACAGCTTGTTCGGACAGCATCTTCCAAAAGGCAGACCTGCTGCTCTCTGCTAGTCTGTTTATGTCTTCAGAATTTAATGTTGGGAATGCAAGACCAAGTTAACCTTCAAGTCTTTCTCTCATTAAAGTTTACGTTTGTGTTTAGCTTAAACCCAAGTTTGATCCTTAAGCTGCCCTCCAAGGCTGGCTTTCTCTCTTTGCAATTTGAGAGGAATCCAGTTTCACTCATTCTTTCTCTAAAATCGCACCCTCCGTCTAGTAAGGGTGTACAGGCCTACGGAACTTAAAATTCCATAAGTGATTGTGGTTGTGGATAAGGAGGTGTTGCTGCAGACTAGAAGCAGGCTGACTTCACCACCAGTTTCGGAAGAGGACAACATAAGTTACTACCCTCCACCCCCAAATAGAAAAGGCTTAGTACATCCTGATAAGCAAGGTTGCAGAGTCAATCCTTAGTCAGGGCACACACAAGATCAACCAATGAATGCATAAACAAGTGGAACAAACAGATGGGGGGGTATTTGTTCCACTTGTTCATGCATTCATTGCATAAACATAAATTAAAAACAAATTTAAAAAAAAAAAAAGATTGTTTTGTTAGCAATTACTTACCAAAGTGGTCTTGGCATTTTACTGTCCAGCTCATCGAGATGTGATGGCAGGTGCTGTCACCTGTTCCATGAGCAATGCTCAGCCTGTGACCAAGGTTCAAACAGCAGGTCATTATTATGTAGAAAAACAGCTCAGAGAGCAGACTGGCACATACCTATGAGATATTACTGAGGTTAGCACACCTTAAAACTGCTTTTAACAAAGTGTGAAATAGTCAAAGAACCTCTCTTCGTATACATTGTTGGAATTCTCAGATGCACAAAGCTTTATAGACTGTAAACACCATTAATCAGTGTACAATCCAATGATATAGGAACCAACTCACTTCACAAAACTTTATTAAAGCAGACTCTTATTTAGTATATCAAAAAGTCCCAAAAAGATCCTTGTGATAAATCTGCTAGCAGAGTCCATGGGAGTGGATGGCTTCTAGCCCCACCCCCACCCCCATTCCAGTATCCCAGTGCTCAAGCTGGGTAAGCAGTCAGCAGAAAAGCTTTTTTCAGCAGCTTGGTCTGGAGTTTGGAGTCCATCCTCTGAAAAATGAATTTCTACCAGTTGTGAGTTAAAAACAGCCAGATGTCTTCCATTTGTAGTTACTGTGTGTATGTAACTCACTATTCTAGGATTTTAATGTGTCCTCAAATAAAAATTGACTTATGTCCAATGGCAGCAATAGTCCCAAAATAACATCTTGGTTTGTGTTCCTTTTATTGGTTCCAGACAATTTTGTAGTGGGAAGAGATGAAGCCAACAGGAGTGAGTGGGTTCACTCACATGCCACTCACATGCCCAAAACATGGCCAGCATCTCAAGGACTTTCCAACAGACCATGGATTCCTCCAGAGATATCACAGTTTTAAACTTGGTACCAGGTGGGAAATAGCATGAGCTTTGGCCCTAGAGGTCCAGACAGGCTGGAGGTTGGGGAACAGGAGAGAAACCGAGTTCCTCAGCTGAAATCCTGGCTGGTCCTACCAGCCTCCAAGTCATTAATTTTTGTCCAGTTGTGCTCTGGTTGATGACAAGGCCTCCTGCCCCAAACACCAGCTGGAGTTGGATATATGACCCTTGTCCTGGAAAAGGGCCTCAGTTGCTGCTGCTGCTGTCCTCACTATCCGAATATGCACCCAGCAGACTCAGAGAGGAGGTGCCGGGCGTCCTGGTTGCAGGGTCTTCGGCTTTCCCGTTGCTCACAGTGTCCAGTGTGGGTGCCAGCTGGCCCTGTTGGGTGCTGCGATCCAGGCCTGCTTTCTTCACCACAACGAGGCCTGAGAGCTGAGGCCTGCTGCCAAGGGTGCCCACACTCCGCTCCCAGCTCTCCGTCTTCCTCTTCGCCTTCGGGCCTTCGTCCAGGATTGCTGTGGGTTTGGGGTTGGGCAGGAAGGCCGGCTGGGGCGGGACAGGAGCAGCATCCTCTTCCGAATCGGAGTCCTCCAGCAGTCTTCGTTTCCTGGCTTCTTCCACTAAGGCTGCCGTCTCCCTCTCATCCTCCTCCTGCTCCTGCTTCAGCCGCTCCTCCTCGGACAGACGGTGCTGCCGCAGCATGGCCTCAAAGTCTACGTGGGCCTGCCGCTGGTTCAGGTCCTTGAGCTCCTGCAGATTCTCCAGTACCTCCATCTCCAGCTTGGAGTCCTTGGTTCGGTTCTCCAACACCTTCATAGGATTGTTCAGCTCCTCATCCTCCCGCTCCTTCTGCACTCTCTTCTCCTCCTCCTCCAGGAGCTTCTCGGCCTGGAAGTTTCGCGTGGCTCCGTGCTCCATGGTGTAGTCTGTGTTTTCGGGGTCTGTCTTGAAGGTGATCTCTGCCAGGCAGCGCGTGCACTTGATATAGAAACGGAAGATGGGCAGGCCCAGGTAGACCTCGTTCTGCACCGTCTCTTTGCGCGCGTTGAACTTCTTACCCTTGTAGATGTATTCTCCGCACGTCTTACACCTCATATTGAAGGGGGCCATCAACCGCACCACGTACTGCCGATCTTTGGGGAGCTTGAGCTTGGGGATCTTCGACGGGTCAAAGTCGGGGGGGTAATACTTGTTTAAAACTTTTCGCTCCGACATTTTCGCCTTCTATTCTTCTCACCAGCACCGGAGAACCGTTCAGGACCGGTGTTTACCGAACTTCCGCTACGCTTCCGTCGACGTCACTCCTTATGCCTCTCTGATTGGCTGCGGCAGTCACATCGTGCCTTTTTCATTGGCTCCGATCCCCGTCTGTCAGCGTCCGAATCCTTCTGTCTATCGTCCCGAGTTGCAACCTCTGTAGCGCAACAAAGGTTCCGGGGGTGATCCGGATTCGGAGAAAGTTACGAAGAGACGCTGCGCCAGTTAAGATTTTGTCATGTGAGGTAGCTGGTTCTTTCTTTTATTCACCAAAGAGAGAGCTTGGTTGAGTGCCTACCCCGTGCGCTGGCCTCTGGGAGCCCACACGTTCCAGGTCCCAGCGCTCACATCGGCACTGGGGACAGTTCCCACGGGCTACACACACAGGTCGCGACAAAGGAGCACCTGGTCGCCCCGCCCCAAGTTTAGCTTGATTCCCCGGCCTACTCCAGGGCAAGGATCCAAGCCTACCTCCCCCAGGCACTCACACTAGCTGCCAAATGTCCCCCACCGCCCTCCTGAGTTCCCCCTTTAAAGGGAACATCTCACCCCATTCTTTCCCTGGCCGCCTCCCTTCCCATTTTTTTTTAATAATTTATTTTATTTATATCTTTATTAGTTTCAGAGAGGAAGGGAGAGGGAAAGAGAGATAGAAACATCAATGATAAGAGAGAATTATTGATTGGCTGCCTCCTGCTGCGCGTCCCCTAATGGGGATCAAGCCCCAACCCAAGCACGTGCCTTTGACCGGAATCGAACCTGGACCCTTCAGTCCTCAGGCTGATGCTCTATCCACCTCTATTCAGTCCTCAGGCTGAGCCAAACCAGCTAGGGCTCCCTTCCCATCTTTCCCCCCCAAATTGTGGTAACACTGGTTTTTAACATTGTATAAGTTTACCGTGTATAACTTGGGTATGTACTACAACTTGATCACCACCCAAAGTCTAGTTTTGATCCATCACCATGAAACTAACCCCCCTCCCCCATTTCACCCACCCCTCACCAACCCCCTTTTCCTTTGGTAACCATCAATCTGTTTCCCATATTTAGTTGTTTTTGTTAGTTCTTTTTAAAAATATATATTTCACATATGAGTGAAATCATGTTATTTTTCTTCGTCTGACTTATTTCACGTAACATAATATCCTCAAGGCCCATCCATGTAAGATTTAATTGGCAAGCTTTAATTCTTTTAACTTTTTTATGGCTGACTAGTATTCCATTGTGTACATATATCACATCTTCTTTATCCATTCGGCTGACAATAGACTCTTAGATTGTTTCCATACCTTGGATATTGTAAATAGTGCTACAGTGAGCACAGAGGTCCATATATCTTTTTAATAAATGTTTTTGTTTTCTTTGAATAAATACCCAGAAGTGGAATAGCTACATCATAGAGTAGTTCAAGCTAAAGACTTGTGGTGGTGGTGTTTTTTAAATATGAAGAATTTTAGTCTTTTCAGTCAATTCCAAATAATAAACATTGCATATGTAAAATATTATCTATTTTTTAAAATTTTTATTTGAGCCAAAACCGGTTTGGCTTAATGGATATAGCGTCCGCTTGGGGACTAAAGGGTCCCGGGTTCGATTCCGGTCAAGGGCATGTACCTTGGTTGTGGGCATATTTACAATAGGGGGTGTGCAAGAGGCAGCTGATCGATGACTCTCTCATCGATGTTTCTAACTCTCTGTCTCTCTCCCTTCCTCTCTGTACAAAATCAATAAAATATATATTTTTTTAATTATTTGAGAGAGAGGGAGGAAGGGCAAGAGAGGGGGAGAAACATAGATTTGTTGCTCCACTTATTTAGGCATTCATTCGTTGAATCTTGTATGTGCCCTGACCAAGGATCAAACCTGCAACCTTGATGTATTGGGCTGATGCTCTAACCAACTGAAATATCCAGTCAGAGCTTAAAATAACTTTTATTAAGTCACAATAAATTGATTTGTATTCTGTGACATTTTGTTCCATGATACAGTGCCTCAGATTTGGGTTATCTAAAATTCACACGAAAAAAAAAAAAGACAGCTTAAATATATGCCTTGGTCAGAGGACATGAAAAATTTAAAGATAAAGGACTGCAATTATTTGGTACATTCAATAATAATTAAAGAAGATCCATCACCATGAAATTGTGATACAACTTTCTACCCAATGGAATATTAGAGAATAACATCTTCATGTAAAGAGTTGAAACAACTATTTGGTTTTGGGGACAGATCAATTATGGAAAAATGTCAGCCCTGGCCAGTTTCTAAGGGTTCAGAGCATCAGCCCGTGGACCAAAAGGTCATGAGTTTGATTTCTGGGCATCCACCTCCGTTGCAGGTTCCTCGGCCCCATTAGGGGTGCAGCCAGTCACTGTCTCTCTCACATCAATGTTGCTCTCTCTCCCCCACCTCTCTCCCACTTTCTCTCTAGAAATCGATGGAAAAAAATGTCCTCCAATGAGGATTAAAAAAAACAAAAACAAACAAATAAAAACCTGAATAGGCCAATAACAACTGATGAAATAGAAGCAGTATCAAAAAAAATAAAAGCCTAGGTCCAGAAAATAAAAGCCTAGGTCCAGACAGCTTCACAAGGAGTTTTGCCAGACATTCAAAGAAGAACTAACACATATCCTCCTCAAACTACTTCAGAAAATCCAAGAGGAAGGAACAATCTAAACTCTTTATATGAGGTCAGCATTATCCTAACTCCAAAACCAAATAAAGATACTACAAAGGAATAGAATTACAGGCCTATTTCCCTGATGAACATAGATGCTAAAATCCTCAACAAAATATTAACAAATAGCATCCAGCAATATTTAAAAAAAAAAAAAAAAGATCATACACCATGAACAAGTGGAATTTATTCCAGGGATGAAAGGCTAATACAATATTTGCAAATCAGTAAACATGATACATCACATAAGTTGAAAGACAAAAATCACATGATCATATCAATAGACAGAAAAAGCATTTGACAAAATCCAACATCCATTTTTGACAAAAACTCTCAGCAAAGTGGGAATAGAGGAGCATATGTCAACATGATAAAGGCCATATATGACAAACCTATAACCAACATCATACTCAATGGGCAAACACTGAAAGCATTTCCCCTAAGAACAGGAATAAGACAGCGATGTCCACTTTTACCACTCTTATTCAACACTGGAGGCCTGGCACATGAAATTCGTGTGTGGGTATGGTCCGAAGCCTGCCCCACTCCCTGCCACCACTTACCCCAGGTTCCCCATTCACCATCAGGTGATTGGTGCCTGACAACCAGGGTAAGAGACCGAGAGGTTGGCTGTTCCCACCCACTTGCCAGCCCCGCCCCCACCACAGGTGGCCATCAGGTGATAGGAGCCTGCCAGCAGAGGAAAGGGACCAAGAGGTGGTTAATGCGCCTCATAGTGACTGGTCCAGTGGTCATTCTGCTGTTAGGGTCAATTTGCATATTACCCTTTTATTAGATAGGATAGTACTGAAAGTCCTAGCCACAGCAATCAGACAAGAAGAAGAAATAAAAGGCATCCAAATAGGAAAGGAGGGAGTAAAATTCTCATTATTCGCAGGTGACATGCTATTGTACATAAAAAACCCTGAAGACTCCACACAAAAAACTGCTAGATTTAATAAACAAATTTGGCCGAAACTGGTTTGGCTCAGTGGATAGAGCGTCGGTCTGCGGACTGAAAGGACCCAGGTTCAATTCCGGTCAAGGGCATGTACATTGGTTGTGGGCACATCCCCAGTGGGGGGTATGCAGGAGGCAGCTGGTCAATGTTTCTCTCTCATTGACATTTCTAGCTCTCTATTCCACTCCCTTCCGCTCTGTGGAAAATCAATAAAATATAAACAAACAAACAAACAAATTTGGCAATGTAATAGGATACAAAATCAATACCCAAGAATCAATGGCCTTTTTATACACCAATAAGGAATTTTCAGAAAGAGAAACCAGCCAAAACCGGTTTAGCTCCATGGATAGAACATCAGTCTGTGAACTGAAAGGTTCCAGGTTCAATTCCAGTCAGGGGCATGTACATTGGTTGTGGGCACATTCCCGGTGGGAGATGTGCAGGAGGCAGCTGGTTGATGTATCTCTCTCATCGATGTTTCTAGTTCTCTATTCCTCTCCCTTCCTCTCTGTGAAAAATCAACAAAATATATTTTTTTAAAAAAGAAAAAAGAAAGAAACTAAACAAACAATCCCATTTACCCTATCAACAAAAAAATTAAGATACTTAGGAATAAACTTAACCAAGGAGGCAAATACCCATCCTCAGAAAACTAAGGGACATTAAAAAAAAGAGATAGAAGAAGATATAAACAAGTATAACAATATACCGTGTTCATGGATTAGTGAAATCAACAACATTAAAATGTGCGTATTACCCAAGGCAATCTATAAATTCAATGCAAATCTCTATTAAAATACAAACAGCATATTTCACAGAGCTAGAACAAATACTCCAAAAATTTATATGAAATTAAAAAAGATCCAAGCCAATTTGGCTCAGTGGATAGAGCATCGGCCTGCAGATTGAAGTGTCCCGGGTTCGATTTTTGTCAAGGGCACGTACCTCAGTTGCAGGCTTCTCCTCAGCCTGGGCCCTGGTCCAGGCACATGCAGGAGACAACCATTGATATGTTCTCACATTGATATTTCTCTCTGTTTTTCCCTCTCTCTTCCACTCTCTCTAAAAATCAATGGGAAAATCTCCTAGGTGAGGATTTAAAAAAATAAAATAAAGTGGAATAGGTGCAGCATTTTGAGGAAGAAAAACAAAGTTGGAGGAATCCAATACCAGATTTCAAGTTAGACTGCAAAGCCACCGTAATCAAAACAGCCTGCTACTGGCACAAGAACATGTGTATAAGTCAATGGAACAGTAAGAGAACCCAGAAATTGATCCAAGCCATTATGCTCAATTAATATTTGGCAAAAGAGG